ATTGTGGGGAAGAATTTATTGGCTTAAATATAGAAGGTAAAATATATACAAAGAATATTTGATCTATATTTCTATCTGGTGTCTTGTTCAGAACAAAATATGGCCGTCTGATTCAAAGTTTTTGTTCCTTTTTGCTCCCACAAGATAATATCATTAATATCATGAGCTGAAAATCATACAGCCATATCTGGTCCTAAACCTGCGATAAATACAGACTATAATATAAATGTGTTTGGAAATATAACGATAGCTTTAAAAACAATTAGTTTTATGTAAACTTCTATGATACCACTTTTATCCGTTTAATATCATAAGATAGTAATATCTCACTAGCTTAGTAAATCTCTTCAATGTACTTGTTATTAAAAAGTATCTCCTAGGAATTGCGGTTTTTACTCATAGAAGTTTCATATTTTCATAAGCAAATTTTCCATACGATGTTAATCCCTAATAGGGCCATTCTTTGTTTTATATATCGCAGTGTCCTTCTATTTTTAAGAATTAACTTTAAGTATTTGCGATCCATTCTTACATTTGTTAAACTAAACTATACATATATGTATATATATATATAATATTCCATTGCATATTTTCTCTCTCTCTGAATATTATAATCTAAAATATCTCAAGTTTTCTCAAATTATTGTAGCAAAGTCCTATGTTATAATTTCTTTTAAAAATTAAATGTATTTAAAAATTCCAATTTTTAGTCCTGTAAGTATAAAATTGTTAAAAATAATTAATGATTTGGCAATAAAGTTACTGATTATTGAGAGAAAATGTGCGATGTTCACAAATGCATACATGTATACACCACGCATACACAATACTCCCTTTTATGACATGTCTGGAATAAACTCAACGGTAAAAAATTGTATGTCTCTAGTATATAGCAGTGTGTCAATTATAACAATATACTCACAATAGCGCATCACACATACACATACATACTTATTCTGAATAGTAAATCCATCGAAAAAAAGTTTATTTCATTTTTAGTTTTTGATTTGTGATGTGTCAATATTCTGCTGACGTTTTAATCCTGATGATGTATCTTAATGTTTGAAATATACGTGTGTATGTTAAATCGACTATTAATTTTCCTATATTAATTTAACTTTATACATATATATTTATACATATATATAGTAAGATAAACAACTCCTTAAGAAAAGAGACATTTAAAAAATGTAATATTATTATAATTGTAATTAAAATTTAATAGATCATATTTTTAAAATGATTGTTAACAAAACACAAACAATGTTATATTATTATATTATATTTGTAAATAATTAATAACTTAATGTATAACATCACATGAGATCACAACAAAAATTACGTCAAGTTTCCAGATATAACATGCAGGTTGCATAAGATATCTAAAAGACGTTTATACTTTATATATTAAAGATACAACATAAATGTGTTATTTAAGTTGCAAGATTACATTCTATTATTTAAAATTATTTATACTTTCTACTGAATGCGTTTTATGAAAGAATAATATTGGGTATTCGTAAGTAAAAAATCATAAAATTCTTTATATATTAATTGAAAATTATATTTCACACTTATTATTTTCATTTATTATTTCCTATTTATTATTTTTTCACTTAAAAGAGAGATAATTTATAATCATGTCCTTTATTTGGAACAAAATTTAAGACACGTTATAAAGTGGTACGAAGAGTTAAAATTTGGAATTATCCCTAAGATATACAAGGTATCTCAATAACTACCACCTTAAATCTAAAAAAAATTCATAAGAAAATTGCATGATACAAAAGAAGCTATTAATTTGTATCATGCAAGATCTACTGGGGTGTGTTCAGAATCGTCGTCCGGATGCACCCAGATGTTGTTTTATCTTTGTTATTCACGAATGATAAACAAGGATAACACGACACTTGGGTGCACTCAGATGATGATTCTGAACGCAGCCCTGCTAATGTTATTATCCTAAGCTGCAGGCAATAAAATATAAAGATATTCGACAGGAATGGGAAGAGAATAAACAAAGAAACCAGAGAATATATATAATAGAGGAGATAATAACGGCCAGTTTGTTTCTAAGCAATAACATCGACGATAATTTTATGTTTATACATATTGTACATATATTTTCATAGAAACGAATAACTAAGTTAAATACTAAGCAATTAAAAGGCGATATCAATGTTTGATGAAGTCATTAAAGTATTAAAGTATAGAGATGTTAGAAAACCAATTTACGAGATATTAAATATTTCATGTCAATATATATGCCAGAATAAAATATAAAATTTCTCGTAACTATGTTTGACAGCTTTATTTTAATATTTTTATGTGCAAAATAATTAGAGAAATTATATTATGTAAAAAAAATGTATACGATTGCATTAAAAAAATTTTAGGTAACCTTATCCTTACCATTCTGAGAACATCTCAAAGTAAACTAAGGCTATTTTCTTTCCTTCTAATAACCGAGCAATTTTTCACTGAAAAATTTTAAGATATTTTTAGTCTAGTGAATTTGGTCAAATAAACCACTGTATATGCACACAAACACACACATATCTATATTTTACTTCAATAAATTATAATCCCATAAATATTAACATTAGTTTAATTAATATTTTGTTTTTTAATAAAGAAGCTGTAAAAAGATTATTCTTCATATTTTCCAATTTTATTTGTAATTATTGTTTATTTATATAGGCTTTCCTGCATTTTGTATCATGTAATAGATCTTTGGCTAATCTGAAATTCTTAGTAAAAATATAGTAAGTATATATAATGAAATTAACGTTATCTGTATAAATATATATAAATATAAGTAGAAAAGAATTAAAGTAATTTATATATATAATTACTTTTAATTAGCATGGAATTATATGGAAACTGTCTCGATACACGTTATTTAAATATCAATTCAATCACGATTCCAAAACTCAAATCAAAACAATGTAAAAATAAAGAATACAAAATTATATAGACGGAAAATAATAATTATCTCTCTTAAGCGTACTCTTACTCCACCATATTTATATATATTTAACAAAATTTAATATTATAACGTAATTCATATTATTTTTCCACAAAGTTTTTGTAAATTCTATTGAAACTAAATGAGTATGTGTTTTTTTATCAATATAAACTGTTATTTGTTTCTATGAATATATTGTGTATATATATATATATACACACAATGTAAACATAAAATTATCGTCAATGTTACTGCTTAAAAAAAAGTGGCCGTTATTATCTCCTCTATTCTCTGGTTTCTTTGTTTATTCTCTTTATTGTTTATTTCTGTCGAATATCTGTTATATTTTATTGCCTGTGCAGTTTAGAATAATAGCATTAGCAGTAGATCTATAGAGAAGAGTATATACAAATTTCGTATCAGGTGATATACTGTAAGGTATTTACAATAGCCAGCTGCTAGACTCGGAAGTATATATACCTGAATATACTTATTAGTGAGTAGTTCATAGTTTAGAATAGGAAACGCAGTTTTTCAATCCAGTTGTATCCAATTGAATCTAATTGAATCCAATTGAATTCAATTGAACCCACAAAAAAGTATTCGCTATTTAAAATACGAATTCGAATAGACAAAATCCAATCCATTCCCGGATACTGGGATATATAACAAAATTGATTTAATATATCGAAAAAAAGATTAAGAAAAATGAATCGTATATTAAAGATTTTAAGACGTGATTCTATCGATCGAGTGAATCAATTAAAGTTGGATCGAAATAACTCAGAGAAAGAGAGAGTGTGTTATAGAATAAAATTACTAAATTCATGTTAAAATAGAATTTTTAATTTCGCTACTTCAGTGCCTGTCGAAATTTGTTGTCTCGTATAATTAACGTATTTCATAACACTGATTGTAGGATGGTTTCGAGAGGGCTCGAATAGTCGTTGACTCGTCTGGAATGTGTCGTAGAGTCTAATATGCTGACAAGCAAAAAAACATACATTCCCGATAAAAACATCGGCTCTCTCCCGACTTCCCGAGACGTCCTGGAAATTGACAGGGTTGCCAGGCATCCAATGTCTCGGACATTCCAGGGTACAAGGCTGCCACATTAATGGTGCATTGTTGCCATTTTTTATAGGGACGTTCCTTATTCAGCTGAGAAATGCGCATAATGCATCGATTGTCCTTGTTTAATATTTGATGGGCAACAAGGATAAACGATCCGCGTTTTAGGAATCGGAAATTCGGCCAGATAACAAGAAGCTTATCTTGTAAATATTTATACTTATCCCTATTTAACATTTGATAAACGCAACAAGGATGTGGTGATTTCATGAGTGTTGCTAATAGCAGCCACATAGAAGCGCTGCAATTCGTCACGCATAAAGCGCATAAAGATAAAGTTGTCGTGTTAAACAAGGATAAAATGATTTTTCATGCGCAGCCTTTGGTTGCTAGCGAGTAGCATTAAGTAAGACGTACCACGTGGGTGAGAGAGGGAGACATATCGCTTACCAGGGGAATGCTAATGTTACTCCCTGATTGGCCGTTTCGAGTTTTGTTTCGCGTACCACAGCGTACCATTTTACCGCGTCGTTTCTTTATAGTCCTTCGATCTTCGATCAGTTCAATCAGTTCGGGCTTCAGTTCTGTACGTTGAGTCGCTGATACGATTGACAGCATTTTTTCATGACGCATCTCGTTAATTTTTGTGGTGTACCGATATCTGTACTTCCTGAAATCCTAAAACTGACGTCGATCGTGCTCGACGTGAATCGACTCGGTTCTTGAGACCGCGTTGGCGTTTGTAATATAAAGTCTGTAAATAGGGACGCACCACATGGTTTTTCAGGCGTTCAAACGAGAGACCAATCGTGCCGTTTCTGTGTCATACGCAAATCGTGATTGGATAGATAGACGCAACTTATAATGACGCAACTGTAATAACCGTTAAGTTATTTTGTACCGCGCGCCATCGGTAGATTAATATTGATTTCTCAGAAATTTTGGCGTCATTCGTCATCTCGATTTGAACTCGTCTATCTAGAGTCCTCCGACGCGTGGTCGCGTGGAGTTCGTGTGGCTTTGTGAAAAATAATTGATCTGGACACGTGCAGAGGTAAGTACGAGGTAAATAAAAGTAAGGCCGTATTAAAATTCTCGGAGCTTAACAGGAAATTTTTAGCCGCGTTAACGAAGGAAGTGAAATTTGGATCAGCACGAATTAAATAAATAAAAGGAAAAGCTTGGTGTTTCTCTGAGTCTTCTCACAGTCAACAGATTTTTGTACTTAACAGTTTTTGTATTCGAAATCTCTCTCCCCCTCCCCTCTCACTTTCTAATATGTATTTATCTCGTTTTTTAATAAAATATTTTCGGTTTTCAACCGACGCGAAGAAGCCTGTATTAGGGCTTCTTTTTTCATTCCTAGAATTTTCCTTCTCTCTTTAGAAAATCGTAAATATCAAATACCTGTAACTTACAAAAGTACATTTTAATTCATCTATGAAAAACATATTGTGCGATTAATTAACGGGTACTGACATGTCCACACATCATGGCTACGTTTATATTAGCTATGTAACATTAAACATAGAATCGAGAAATTTGAATGTTGACCTTCAGTTACATCGAAAGAGATCGTATTAATAATAATTTTATAATAACATGTTCCTATACGGAGTATACTAATTGTACATTTCTGAGTCTTGTAAAAACACGACGTACTCGTTTTTTTCGAAATGCTCCACATTTTGAGACGAATTTTAATACATTGGAAATATAGCATTATTTTTTAATGAAAATTTACGAGATACTCTGAATAATCCGATAAAATTGTAAATTTCCATCATAAATTTTAAGTATCTTATTTTCTACTAACTAAACAATTACTACAAAACATCTTCGGTGATATCTTCCTGCAGTTTTAATTTCTTAATTTTAGACTATAGTTTATGGGTGCCTTTTATTTCGTGACACTCATCAACACAAATGTAGTCATTCCATCTTGGCATTCCATAAGTAACAAAGATAACGATACCGGTGCCGACTTGCATCACTGATATCCATTTCCACCAATGTAAATTAACTTCAATTTTAGTTCAATTTACTCTTCATCTTTTTCTAATTTAGGACTAGAAAAAGGTGAAGAGTAATTCAAGTCAAAATTGAGGTTACATTGATGGAGATGAAAACCGTCCTACATTGTATATTTTAGCACAAGTGCAGATTAGATTTACCTAAGTTATCTGAGCCCAGTTTTTGAACATTCCAATGTTTATTGCCAGTAATTTATAATATGTGCTATAGATGTGTAGATTTTCAGTGAATATTGAAACGTTGATGTTTGTGAGAGCCAAAGTTGATGTTAAATCAAGCATTTTTTTTACCAAAAGATCCTGCCTAGTTTAAAGTAAGATTGATAAACTATGTGATAAATCAGGGGAATTATTTTGCAAATATATTCAAATTTAATAGGTTTCTGCTTTCATCATTAAAGACAAAATGTCTAAGCAAGAAGGAGATAAAGGTTATAATGATCCCTCTGAACCGTCGACCAGTAGTGGGTATCGCAGGTCTAAACCGTATGAAAGAGGCTCGTCAGAGTCATCGGTAAGTAAGACATGACACCAGTAAGAAGAAAGGTTTACTTTTTATAAATCTAAATATTAAAAGAAATACAGAAGATGAAGCGTACTTTTGACATTTTATAGGTTATTTTTACATTTTTTCTAGTTATACTTTAAATATTCAAAATCAATTATTTTATTTCTTATTTTAATGATATATTTATTCAAGAGATTTTTTTCCAAGTCAAAAAAAGTATACTGTTTCTGAATATAATTTGATGTACGTGAATCGAATTCAAATATACATTGCCAATATTGAAAATCTATATGTATAATGAACAAAGTGTAGTATATACTTACTGTAATTTTAGAGTGCTTTTCAGCAAGAGACATATAGTACAGTATAACAGTAAATCATTCTTGTTGTCTACAAATATTAAACAATGACATGATGACTGTCACTTGCTAGCAAGTTACATTAGACAGCCACAATAGAAGGAATAAGAAGTAAGAAATTTCAGTCTATCAGAAACTATGTACTCTAATGTATCTGATTTCTGATAGGTTGAAATTTTTTATTCCTTATTTCTTCTATTATAATATTGCATGTATAATATAATATATTGCATCCTCGGTATGCCAATTTGTGTGTATTGAACAATATTATTAGGCTAATATTACATTTGTCGTACAAAAAAAATAAATTTTATATTATATAAATGTAATATTAGCTTTATAGTATTAATCACATGTGGCAATATTATAGTTTGTATATATGATAAAGGCAATCTTTGAATTTTTAAAGAAATTTTTTCTATAGTTATTTTTTATTATTGTAAACAAAACTATAATGTACAATTGTATTTTATATATATCTTATAATTTAATATATTCTTTTTTTTACAGGGCTATCATCATCGAAGAGGATCAATAAAAGTATGATTTATAATATTGTTATTTTCAATATGATATTTAAATCTAATATAATAATATTTAAAAATTCAATATAATATAAAGACTATGAGCCAAAAATGTATATATTTAAATCAATAACAAAACACTAAAGAATATAATAATATAATTTAATAGAAGGCTCAACAAGTATAATTAGTTCAAAATTCGCAATACATTGAATTCAAACAGAGTAAACTTAACAATAAATATAAAATTCGCATACGTTTCGACACCGATCGGGTCATTTTCAATGTTAAATTAAAAGAATATAATAAATACATCGAAAAAACATTATAAACAATTATTACAGAAACAAAAGAAGCAATTGCTAAACAGACGTTTTGACCTCCCTTGGGTCATCCTCAATGTTAAACGTATAAATTCAAATGATAAATAGCAAACCTTATAAAATAATGAAGTTATTTGTTACACTCCTAGCTGCATCACATGAGATATTTGCGATGTTATTAACAATTGATTATTAACAATGCGATAATAGTTTTGTTCTCCACATTCTAGTCGAGACACAATGCGTTCAGATATGAAATATGATGTTGTCAAGTCAATACTTAAAAACTTTAACTTTTTCGATGTATTTATTATATTCTTTAGTGTTTTGTTATTGATGTAAATATATATTTTTTTTGCTCGTAGCCTTTATATTATATCGAATTTTCAATTTATTAAGTCATAATTATCTATATTATGTAATAATATTTGTTTTATATATGTTCAAAATACACTGTCGCTTATTAATTTTAATACCACATTTGTTGATTTCTTTGTAAAAGATAAATGTAGTATGTGTATTTTGCATAGAAATGAATCGTATAAGTCCACTTATTGTTACAAATATTTTCAACACTTGTATGCATCGTATTTATAAATTATTTATATAAGGATCTTTAACTAGTTTTGAGAAAACAAGCTTAACAGCCGAATAATTTAATTTTAGAGATAAACAAAATGCACGCGCAAGGTTGCGAGATGCTTATAGTGATATCAGGACATACTCAAAATTATTTTGAATTTTTAAAAACCGATTTGTGTGTCAATGTACATATACATTACTCGTTAATTTTAATATACTAAAATTGCCAATTTCGGAAATTAATGAATAAAAGAAACTAATTTATGATGACCAAGGATATTACATAAGTGAACATAACATCCATAGAATATTCTTATATTAAAAAAATATACAATATGAAATAATATACAACTTGAAATATGAAATTTATTTTAATTTTTTAATAACATTTTTATAATGTTCTATCTAAGAATATTTTGCACCTATAGGATACATTTACTTAAATTAGATTTATTTTTAGAGCCATAAAAACTATTAATCTAATTTATTTTAATAAAATCTAAAAATTTATAAGAATAAAAAATATGTTATTCTATCATAATAGGGCGCCTACTATGACGATTATGCAGTTCCATCTACATCCAAACAAGTTCCAATGGAAGTTTCGAGTAAGTTTTTTATAGAGATCTTTTTACCATTCTCTTTTATCATTTAATTTTTCTTAATTATTAATCTTGTTATATAAAATTTGCATTTTTAATTAGAAGCTACAAAAGATTTAAAATTTTTTAGTATTTAGAAAAATACTATAAATTTAAATTAGCCGAAATTAAAAATGTTTATGTATAATGATTAAAGGTCAAGTTAAAACCGAAGTTAAAACCGAAGTTAAAACCGAAGTTAAAATCGAAGTTGAAACCGAAAGTGAAGTTGAAATGAAAAGTGTAAAAGCTGAACAGAAGACAAGTTCTCGACGTAAATTGGAACCTGTTTTTGTTACTAGACCCAGTACCTTAATCTCTAAAAAAGGTTAGTATAAAATTATAACGTATTATGCAGTATATATGTATAATGTAAACAGATTGTTCTGAGATTTTTTCTATATAAACTTTGACAATATTCAACGAGATTATCATTTAATACGAAAAAAATATTTTGCAAATGCTTCATTAAAAAGTTACAACAAAAATTTGTAATGTGTTAAAAAAATAATTTTATCTAGTGTTTATTTCGAATTGTTACCTGTTCATATTAGTACATGCTTATATTGATATAATTTTGTGAATTTTCATTTTTTTTTAATCTTCGTTATAAAAGTAATAAATCAAAATTACTGCATACAATAGGGAGTTTTTGCAATACCGTCTAAATAGATACAGTGAACGCTAAAGTCACGTTATCCTTTTCTTAATTAGTTATGAAGAAAAAGATAACGATCTTAGCGTTCACTGTATTTGGATAAAACGATATTGCAAAAACTTCCTACTAATATCAAATACAAATTTAGATAAAATTATCTTTTCATACATTTTATATTTTTGTTATAATTTTTTTCCCACGTAAGGATTTCCAGTTCATTTCCTCTACTCTTTATAAGAATATATATTTAAAATACAATATTTTATGAAAACTTATGGAATACTTATTGAATATTTGTATAATTTGCAAAGACATGCTAGAAGAAAAATTACCATTTTTATAATTAATTTCTATTAATTTATAGGTAAATGCGGTAGACCAATAATTCTTCGTTCAAATCACTTCAGACTACCTACGGTACCCAATTGGTGTCTGTATCAATACAGAGTAGATTTCGAACCCGATGAAAGTCGTACTTTTATTCGTAAAGGCATGCTTAAACTTCATACAGATAAAATTGGTCCATATATCTTCGATGGTACTATCCTGTACTCGAGTAGCCGTCTACCAGATGTAAATATATCAATATATCTCATACTGTTGCACAAGTGGATATGCGCTATTCATTTTTATGAATATGTATGAAAAATTTCAGAAAATAGAGCTAGCATCAATAAGGAAGTCAGATAATGAACCTTTCAAAGTAACTATATATATAGTTGGGAAAATGATGCCGGATAATGCACATTATAATGTCATTTTTAACATAATAATGAGGAAATGTTTGGAGTCTTTAAAATTGCAATTGGTGGGCCGCGATTACTATGATGCTAAAAATAAAGTTAGTAAAAAATTTATGAATATTTTGTCTTTATTTTATTGAATTTAATAATTTTTGCAATAACCATCGTATAGTTTAGTGTACATCAATTTCGTTTGGAATTGTGGCCCGGTTATGTTACATCTATAAGACAGCACGAACACAACATTTTATTAAATGCCGAAATAACGCATAAAGTAATGCGTCAAGAAACTCTGTATCATATATTGATGGATTGCTACAAACGTAGTAATAATTATAAAGTAAGTAAATATTTATTTTTATATATTTTGCATTTTTTATTTTTAATTTCATATAATGTAGCTCTATTTATTTAAAAACTTATTAAAATTTAATTTAAATTTTTTAAAAATGTTTTATAAATTTAATTTAAATTTTTTTAATAATCATTTAAATTTGTGACATTTTAAGATTGCATTCAGCGCTGAAAAGTAATAAAGCTTTATATAAGTGTACATACGTACATGTATATTATTTATATTGTTTTTCATTTATAAACAATTCAATTAAAATTTTTTTTCATTTTACTTTTACATAATAAGATAAAATAAAAAGTAAATTTAAAAATATCAAAAATTTCTTAAATTTTCTTTTATGAACAGTTTTGAAAGATCTTTTGATAAAAAATTCTGCTTAAAAATGGTATTTATCATAGATTATATGTATATTTCTGTATTTTTTATTTTTATATACTCTAAAAATAACAAGAATTCCATATATTTTAGACAGAATTTTGCAATAGTGTGATAGGGATTATGGTACTTACGGACTACAATAATCACACTTACCGAATTGAAGACGTAGATTTTGAAACGACTCCTTCTTCGACATTTCCAATGAAAGATGGAAGCCAAATATCTTATCAAGACTATTATAAAAATAAATACAGAATACAAATTTCAAGTCCCACGCAACCTATGTTGGTGACAAGAAGCAAACCGAGACAACGAAATGCCGGGCAAGGAGATTTAGTTTATTTAGTTCCTGAACTTTGCCGTGCTACAGGTACGTTTTACACTTGACGAATATATATGTGTAAGTTTTTGAATTAATAAGTATATATATATATATATATATATATACATAAATTTGTACTAATGGAATTTTTTCTTACAGGTTTAACTGATAGCATGAAAGAAAACTTTCATTTAATGAAAGCTTTAGCAGTACATACTTGCATTTCACCTAACGCCCGTATAGATAAACTTATACGGTTTAATAGTAGACTTCGTCAGGAACCAAAAGTTTTACAAGAATTGAAAGATTGGAATATGGCGATAGACAAGAATTTATTAGAATTTCCTGGTCGCATATTAAGCTCAGAAACACTTTTATTTGGCAATAATAGACGCATAAGTAGTAGTATGACAGGAGATTGGACTAGGGACATGCAAAGAGCAAGTTTATATACATGTAAGGAGTTGAGGCATTGGATAGTATTTGGAAGTAATCGAGACTATCGTGCTATAGAAGTAAGTAATTTTCATTAAATGGATATCTCTCTCGAACAAGAGACGTAATAGTTCCTTTCCATTTACATTAATTTTCAGAGATAATTTTTTGTGATATTATAACTCAATTGAATACATATTCCTTTTACATTCTGACAAGTGAGATTCAACTGAATTTTTATCTACAATCTGCACAGGATCGAGATCGTGTGCTTTACTGACACTGGCAAGAAAAAAAGAGACCCAAAATTGTCCCTTCAATTTTTATGGGCTTTATTATATTGTTTTTCAGACAAAAATAAGTGGTACATTCGAAAAATTCGTATTACTTATTCTCGTCTAGAAAACAACACACTAAAAATTCATTAACATCAGAGAGGACAGTTAAATCTTTTTTCTTGTGAGTCTTATAAAGCCTTACTTTATAGAGATTATACTTAAAAGAGATTTTAGAGTTTTATAAAGCCTTACTTTATAGAGATATACTTAAAAGTGAGATTATAAACCTGTGTCATATGTGATAATTTTTTGTCAAAGTAGGCAAGTTGTGAAGTCATAAATCTGAGTATGAAATATTCAACTTGGGTCAAATTCAATTTCACTTATGTGTAAATGGAAAGTAACTAATATCACAATGAAATTAATCATGCATACAAGATCACATACACACATACGTACATTCTTTGTCAAGTTTGCCACTCATTCTAAAATTGTATTTGATGTAGAAAAACACAACTGTAGGTTCAATAAGCATGATATAGAAACAAGGGTATGCTCGTGCACACGTTCACGCTAGCCAATCAGAATTGTTAACAAGCTGTGACATGCGTCATACGCGATACATTTGAACGAGTTATTTCGTGCACTATTCCAAGTATGCTTTCCTGGCATATTGTTCGTTTTCCGAATATAATTCGTGTATTCTTTCAGTGTATTTGTACAGCTTATTTTGTCCTTCTAGTGAAAATCCAATCCTCATTCTAGTATGTTAACATAACATACTGACGCTAATTAGGAAGGTTTATCCCATGCAGCTAATGTATGGCAACCATATTTCACGGATACAAACCACTCCGGATTTTGCAAGCACGAGTGTATCGTAGGCAATAGTATTGAAAATAAACCAAGTAAAAAATAAAAGAAAAATATTCTTCTCTTTAAACATAAAATTACGTTTATCACGATTAAACATTTAACATAAAAAAATATAGATTTCGTATTTGTAATAAAAACTTCATGAAAAATAGAAAAACAAATAATAGTATATTATATAATACGTTTCAGCATTTTTGAAGCTTCTGATATGAAATTAAAGTAAATTTTTTAATTATTTTATATTTTGCACTTTTATGTGTCCGCTATTTCAAATTTATAAAATTTGACAATAGATTTGTAATCAGACTCCATGACAAAAACAATCTTTAAAATGAATTTAATCTTATTTCCTTTTTTTTGCTTCATGTCCGTAATGGATTTGCCATCTTAAATTCTGCCTTTGTTTACATGGCTTTCGATAGCTTATGTCTAAAGCTACATTTATATATAAGATGGTTTTTTTTACGTCAAGTACAATTTTGGAACGGTGGGTGACGGACTTGACAAAGAATGCCATGCCCTATATATGTATATATAATTCAGGGAATGGAAGTAACTCGTTACTTGTAACGAAGTTACAGTTACAAGTTACTTTTTTGGTAACTTTACTGGTAACTGCGTTACTTTCTTTTTTTGGTAACTGTAACGGTAACGAGTTACATTTTTTGGGTAACGGTAACGAAATTTACAGTTACTTTTGTCGTTACTTTGCACACGATTGAACACGGTTCGATTGGATACATGCTATTTATAGCGCTTATCAATAAGACTTGAAAGCCCTTAGACATTCGGCCGTTATGATTCAGTAATTATTTTACACTTCTATCTTCTATGTAATACATAGGACATACAAATATTTCAGTTTGCTGCATATTTTACAGGTTTTAGAATTACAAAATTGTGTTTAAAAAAAATTAAAAAATAAATTAAATAATAGTAAAATGAGAAGGGTTATGAACCCAAAAGCGAAACAGTTTAAAAGACGATGACAATAAGTGTCGAAACGTCGTTTGTTTTTATCTTTGTATTGTTCTAATATATATTTATACATTTAATTACATTGTCATCGTCGTTCTTATCGGAAATAAACTGTTTCATTTTTGGCTCGTAACCCTTCTCATTTTACTTTTATTTAATTTATTATTTGAGCCATTCTACATTGTTTTTTTTTTTTTTTAAACTGAATATTTGTCAGTATTACATATAAAAAAAAAATGCAAAAGTACATTTTTAAATAGATTTTGGAAAAGTAACGAAAAGTTATTTTTCAAGTAACGGTAACTGTAACGAGTTACTTTTAAAAAGCGATAACTGTAACTGTAACTAGTTACATTTTTTACTCGGTAACGAGTAACTGTAACTAGTTATTTTTAAAAAGTAACTTTCCATTCCCTGATATATATATATACATATATATATAAAAGAAATAACCAAAATTTAAGAACATATAAACATGGATTCGAAAACTTTTTTTTCCTAGTTATAAACATTTTTTATTTACGTTGTATTTTTGTTGGACGATATGTTTTACTTCGATGTTTCATGAATTGGTAGAGGAGGACCCCGTCGCTTGGCTTGCAGGTTCTCCCAATTTAAATCCTTTGGATTTGTATTTAGATAGGGAGATATCTTAAGACTCTTTTGTATATGATCCTGTTGCTACTATGGAAGTACTCCGAAATCGTATTATCGCTGCGTATAAAAAAATACGAAATACTTCGAGAATTTTTGAACGTCGATACGAAGCATGCATTGATACGGAAGGAAATCCTTTCCAACAATTTCTGTAATAAAAATATACTATATATTATAAGTAAATAAAAAATATTTATAACTTGGAAAAGAGAAGCATTTCTGAACTCATGTTTATATAATTTTTTCTTCCTTACAATGACTGAAATATGCTCTTAAAGTTTGATCAACTATTTCTGAAGCACCCTGTATATATATATATATAT